GCTACACAACATTTTCTTTCTCTATTCATGTGTTGTTGGGCACCGAGGTGAATTTCCTATTTTAGCTATTGTGAGTAGCTGCAGGGTTGCAATAAACATGGGAGTACCACCATCAGTTCAGTAGATTTCCTTCGGGTATACCTTCCCAGTAGTGAAATGACTAGATCATAAGGTAATTTAGTTTTTCTTTTTTTGAGCAACTGCCATACTATTTTTCACAAAAGCTATACTAATTTACATCCCACTAACAGTGCATGAGAGTTCTCTTTTTTCTACAGTTTCACTCGCACTCTCTCTCTCTTTCTTTCTTTCTTTTTTTTTAGGTTTATTATCATAGGGCATGTGTACTTGCCAGAGAGAGGAAAAGTGAGGAATCACCCCCGGGAGGAGAGCCATGCAGTAATCCCTTCTCCATTCTCCTCCTCCTGGGATTTTGGGCAAGCATGCACATGGGCCCAGCATGTTTTAAACCACCAGGTCTGAGACTCAAACTGTAGTCAGCCTTACCAAAGTCCAGTCAGGCCACCTGCTGGCCCTGGCACTTGTTAGTTTTTGTTTTTATATTATGTCAAAATGTATGTCTTCTATATGCCACCTGCTGGCCCTAGCACTTGTTAGTTTTTGTTTTTATATTACGTCGAGACATATGTCTTCTATACCTAATTTTTAGGAGTCTTGATCATTAAAGGATGTTATAGTTTATCAAATACTTTTCTTGGCCAATTGATCTTTTAGTATATGATTTTTATCTTTTATTCTGTTATAATATATTACATTTCTTGATTTGCATATGTTAAGCCATTCTGCTATTTCCAGCTTAAATCTCACTTTATTATGGTGTATGATCTGTTCAAAATGCTATTGAATTGGGTTTGTTAGTGTTTTGTTGAAGATTTCTGCATCTATGTTCTTTAGGGATATTGGTCTATAGTTTCTGTTTGTTTGTTTTAAAAAAAACAGTCTGCTTTTTGCTATCAGGGTAATGGCAGGCTCATACAATGAGTTTGGGAAGACCTTGTTTACATCTATCTATCTATCTATCTATATATATATACACACACGCATATACACACACACAATTATTTAATCCACTTTCTGAATTAATGCCGTTATTACTGAACAATGACCTTTTTGTCTCTATTTGTAAATTTTGACTTGAGGTGTATTTTAGCTGAGAGCAATAAGGGGATTCCAGCTCACTTTGGTTTCCATTTGTAAGGAATGTCTTTTTCTATTCCTTCATTTTCGGTCTGTATATGTCTTTAGAGATGAGGTGAGTTTCTTATAGACAGCATGTAGTGTGGTGGTGGTGGTGGTGTGTGTGTGTGTGTGTGTGTGTGCAGTTTATTCATTCTGTCTACACCTTTTGATACGGTATGTTGATAAGATATTAATCCGTTTACCTTTGCATTCATTACTAATGGGTGAGATCTGGCTCCAGTCATCATGTTCATTGTTTTCTGCTTGTTTGTATTTCCTTTCTTCTCTTCTTCTGTTCCTGTTTTTCTTTGTGGGTTGCTAGTAGTTTTCTGCATTGATGACATGTGATTATTTCTCTTATTTGTGTGATTACTCTACTGGTAAATTTTATAGCTAAACATGTTTTCATGGTGATATTCATCTCTTTCACATCCAGATGTTAGAATCCCTTACGTATTTCTCAAAATGCCAGTCTAGTAGTGATGAATTCTCTGTTTCTCTGGGAAAGATTTTATTTCTTCTTTAATTCTGAAGGATGGCTTTGCCAAGTATATAATAGTTGGGTGAAAGTTTTTTTCTTTCAGTATTTCGAATATGTCATCCCATTCTCTCCCTGCCGGCAGTGTGTCCGCTGAGTCTCCTACAATCTGAAAGGGGTTCCTTTACATGTATCTTGATACATTTGTTATTTTTAGAATTCTCTGCTGCCTTTGACTTTTGACAGTTTGACTATAATGTGTCTCAGAGAGGATATTTTTACATTGAATCTATTTGGTGACCTTTGAATTTCCTGAATCTGAATGTTCACATCTTTCCCTGGACTTGAGAACTTTTCAGTTCTTATTTCCATGAATTTCTGTGCCTGTCTTCATCTTTTCTCCTTCCCAAACTTCCAAAATAAGATGTTTGATCGTTTAATGGTGTCCCATAGGTCACATAGGCTGTCTTTATTCTTTTAAAAATTATCATTTTTTCTTGTCTGAATGGATTATTGCAAGAGTTCTGTTCTCATGAGGAGAGATTATTTCTTGTTTTTATCCAGCATGCTATTTATGCTCTCCTCTGTATTTTTTATTTTGTCTACTGAGTTTTTAATCTCTAGGATTGTTATATGGTTCTTTTAAAACGTGTATATTTCTTTGTTGAATTTCTCTTTCATATCATGGATGTTTTCCTGATCTTATGGAAGAGTTTATCTGAATTCTCCTGCATCTCACTGAGTTTCTTTCACATCATTGTTTTGAACACCATGTCAGGCATTTCTTGAATTTTCCTTTCTTACAGTCTATTACTGATGAATTATTATATTCCTCTGGAAGAGTCAAGTTATCTTGTTTTCTTATGCTTCATCTGTCCCTGTTTTGATATCTGTGCATCTGGTGAAACAATTGCGTCTTTTGTTTTATGGAGTGGGTCTTATTGGGAACAGATTTTTTCCCCTGTAGATGGGTCCTATATTAGTTGGGTCATGTATTTGATTTTGGTTTTAGTTGAGATTAATAGTATAGTCCTTGCATATTTTCTTTGGCTGAGTCTATGTCGGAAGTGTCTATGAGTGCCTTGTGGCCAAGACCGTGTTTGCAGCTAGAGTGCTGTATCTTTGTTGGGAGATTGGCTGCCTGACCCACCAGCTCTGGGCAAGTGGGTGGAGCCACAGGGTCCCACAGATGCAAGGCTACTTAGTTGGCCTAGGTGAGGGCAAAGCCATGCTGAGCAAGGGAGAGGGGCTGCTACTGGTGGCTGTAGGAGTGTTGTCTGGAGTCTTTCATACCCAGGGAAAGGACTTTTATTTCTGAGGAGGTTATGTGGAGTTCTCAGTCCTGGGGGAGGAGAGTGTTTGGAAATTGTTTTTCTTTTTGGAGAGGTTTTCGCTATAGGGCACGTGCACTAGTCAGAAAGACAGAGAGAGACAGAGAGACAGAGAGTGAGAAATCATCCCCCAGCAGGGATGGCAATGCTGCAATCCCTTCTCCTCCATTCTCCTCCCGAGATCTTGGGCATACACACACATGCGCCCAGTGTGAGTTGAAGCCACTGGGTCCAGGACTTGAACCATAGTCGACTACATGGGAGTCCAGCAACATAGCCATTACACCAACTGCTGGTCTCATGTTTGGAAATCCTAATGTTCAGGTATGGGTCTGGAATCCTCAGTCCATGGTGGGGTTGCTGAGAGACCTCGGGCTCTAGGAGCACCTGCACAGACTCCCTGGGTCTCAGCGGCATGTGCCCTGTGATAGTGCATGGCTAGTTTCACACGGTATAAGGTGTATGAGGACGCAGGTGCTGGGGTCACTGCTTTGTCACTGGGCTTAGCTACTGGCCTGGCTCTGGGGCCTTTCATGGGAGTGTAACAGGGCTACAGTGGGACCTCAGGGATACTGAAGTGCAGGGTCTACCGACCGCCAGTTAGGATGCACTTCAGGTGTGACTCTGCTTCCAAAATTGTGCATGGGAGCTTGGGTTCCAAGCCTCAAAATGGGATCTAGCGTGTGTATCTTTTCCTTGTTAACACACCTGCAAGGACTCCTGGCAACTCCCTCCAGGGAGTGAAAGTCCTAGCATTCAACCTGCAGACTTCTGAGGTGGAAATGGGAAATGCTGTGGATATCTTCCTTCCCTCGTTTTCACAGAGGGGACCTGCCCTCAGCAATCTCTACGCCTCTGCCCTGAGTCGCTGGCCTTGGCGATCTCTTCCTCCCTTGCTGCATCCCGGTGTCCTCCCTGCTCCTGTTTGCAGGGCAGCTCTTCAGCAGTGGCAGTTACTTGCTTTGGTCCTTCTCCAGGGATAGGACTTATGCCCAGGGTCTCCAGGTCTCTAGTCAGTCGTCTTTTCTATCTATCCATTTTAGTATTGTGTATTAATAGCAAGTCATCTTATTCTATTTCTCTGACACTATAGAAATTCACTATGGTGGCCTGAGTGTGCATACAGCCTTAAACAAATTCTTTACTTGAATTCTGAGGATTTTATTTAGTATGACCTTCACAGTTTACCCATTTAACTTCTATTGGAGTTTATCTTTTCATTTGGTTAGAAATTTTAAAATGATCTGTAATCTTTTATTTTTTATTTTATTTATTTAGAGAGGCTTTTGCTATAGGGCACGTGTGCTTGCCAGATACACAGAAAGAGTCAGAGAGAGAGAGAAAGTGAGAAATCACCCCCCTCCTTGGGGGATAACCACACTGTAATCCCCACGATTCCATTCTGTCTCGGGATTTTGAGCACACATGCACACGTGCCTGGTGTGAGTCTCAAGACACTCAGTCTGGAAGTCAAAATGCTGTCAGCCATTTGAGAGTCCAGCATCTTAACCACTATGCCACCTGCTGGCTCCAAATGATCTGTGATCTTTTAAAGTTAAATGACTTGGGAGCTGAAGAGGGTGTGGTAGTTAAGGTGATGGACTTCCACATCGTCAACTGTGGTTCAAGTCCCAGACCCAGTGACTTAAAACTCATGCTGGGTGCATGTATGTATGCGCCCAAAATCCTAAGAGGAGAATGGAGGAGAAAGGATTGTGGCATGGCCATCTCCTCTGGGGTATGATTTCTCACATTTTCTCTCTGTGTGTCTCTGGTGAGTATATGCAATCTATCGCAGAAATCGCTCTAAAAAAATGTTAGCTGGTTTTAAGCAGTGAAGTGTCTTAAAATTTTAAAATTTCAAAGTTTGACTTTCAGATTTTAGAACATTATGAATTTTGTTAAAATTGGGTTTCTTCTTTTTCACACAACCATATTTTAGCAACATGAATGAAACCATATCTTCTCACAGAATGTTTCTTTTTAAACAGGTGATCACCTGGTCTGGACGGGGTACTACGGCTTAGTATATAACCTGGTAAAGATGTCGTGGGAACTCCGGGCAGACGAGGAGCAGGACGGGCTTAGAAACGTAATCTGGCAAACGTTACAGAAAACAAAGGATCATGAGAAAGACGCAAGGATCCGGAGTGCAATAAATATAGCTGAGGTATGTTAAAGTCCTGGGCGATAGGCTAGACTCTTGCCATTATGAAACCTGCTTGTTATTTCCCTCTGTGCACAAAGAATGTCCACATTCAGTGAGTATTTGGCAACTTACAGTGGAAACCACTATTTTTACAATTTAATGCTGACCTGTTTTTGTATAGAGATGAGAGGGTTGAGTTTTAGATGATGGCATTAAAACAGGTTTCCACACACCTTTAATAGAAACAGAATTAAATACACTTCACAAATCTAGAGAATCTTCGCAGGGAATGCTTCCACTGCAGAACTCGATCACGGGATGTTCTGGTAGACACGGAGGAGGCACAGTAGACTGATGTGAGATTATCACACCTTGATTCTTTTCTGTTTTAAGAAAATTTGGTGAAGTTTGGAAAGTAGTACAAATCTTAAGATGCTAACACATACATCTCCTTGGAGGGCTGTTGTGAGGATGGGCTGAAGATGCTGGCGTCTGTCAGAACAGGCTGTGGTTTTAGGACTCAAGCAGGGGAAGGAGGCATTTTTCTATATCTTAGTTTTTTATAGATACAAAGCAGAAATTCCAGAAGGAAGGCTGAACTCATCCATATGGTGACACTGGACTAGAGAGGCCAAAGGTGGTCCTAACTTAAAGAATATCAACAAATAGAGAATATAAACATGCAAAGGCAAAAGTGCTTTTACTAGGTTGCCCACCAGTTCCAAGACTTCTTCTCCTCTGAGCCTGGAATAGGACAGGTAACCAGAGAACCCACTTGAACTACAGTTGCTTTATTATTGTTTTGAATTTCATAGTCTTGTTTTTATGCCTCTAGAAAAGGAAAAAGAAAACTATTATATCTACTATAATGGTGGCCATGATAAACCCCATGCCCCTTTTATTAGGATTTAAGAAATGAATCCTCTTTAGAATCGGGTACTCTATGAACCTTATTATTGATTTTGCACAAGCTGTTTGCTGAGGTAAAAAAATTGTAGTCAAACACTTTTGGCCAATTTCTGATGGAAATAGAGGATGAGATGCACTCATCTCAGCCAGCTTTATTGTTGTCTTCTTCTTCTCTGTTCCTGTGACTCTTTCAACTATTTATGTTACTCTCTGGCCTTACATCTATTTTATGTGCCACCTGAAATCTCAAATAGATTATATTGTAAAAACTAACTAAGCCAGGAACCAGCAGTTAGCGTAATGGCTATGTCGCTGGACTCCCACGTAGTCGACCGCGGTTCGCGTCCCGGACCCGGTGGCTTAGAACTCACGCTGGGCACGTGTGCGTGCGTGCCCAAGATCCCGAGAGGAGAATGGAGGAGAAGGGATTGCAACGTGGCCATCCCCCCTGGGGGGTGATTTCTCGCTTTCTGTCTCTATGTCTCTCTCTGTCTGTCTGGCGAGTGCACGCGCCCTATAGCAAAAACCTCTCCAAAAAAAAAAAAAAAAACTAAGCCAACTCAAAAGCGTCATTTCTATAATTAGAATTCTATTTATATGCCTGTTTTTAAGGCTAGTCATTTGGTATAAGATATTCTTCTTTCAAAATTTTACTAAATATCTATAGATAATTACATTTGAAATTCATAAGTCAATCAGACGTAGAAAGATATTTTAGATATTGGATGCAAGCAAAGACCTCATGACTCCAGCAGTAAGCGCTGAGAATAAAAGAAGAATAAAAGTATAACCAAGACATGGGCTAATTAGTTTCCAGTGTTTAGTCAGAAGGCCTCCAGGAGTGTTTTCATTCACTTTAAATGGGTGGAAGAGGAGAGCCTCTCTCAGAGAAAAAATCTAAATTAGAAATTTCTAAGAACAATTATAATAATTTAGGTGTAGTATATATTTAATATAAGAAATAAGATTAATTTGTACCAGATCAGTTTACTAAGAGACACAATTTCCTCTAGACCTATGCCTCTGCCTGCTGCATTGTTAAGAGTGAGACTGAGTGAATTCGTTAACGAAGTTTAATGACTCACAGTTCTGGAGTTTTTTTTTTTTTTTTTCTTTGTTTAAAGGTTTTACTGCTTATCCAGAGAACACAGGAAATCCTAAGAAAGTAACAACCTGGGGAAACGGTGGAAATTCCAGAACACTCCAGAATCCTTACAGATTTCATTTCTGTTTGAGGCAGGAGGAAGGCAGAGCTTTTAGCAAAGCGGAGTACAGCCTTATCAGTATGGCCTTCTCTCTGCCCCTGTTTTCTGATTGCCTTACTAATAAACCCACCAGAACTGAATCATAGGGGCCCCCTTCAGATGATATGATGATACCCAAAGTCCCCAACCTAAGACACCAGGAAGAAATTAAGTTTCACTTAACACCTTTGCAATACAATAAAATTCCACATACGAATTTCTGGGGAACACCTAGTCACTATGCACTAAGACCAAATTCCCAACTATGGAACTTTAGGAGACAAACATTTATCTATGCTGTAGACAAAAGTTAGCAAGAGATACATTGTTGCTTAATAATCAATAACGTATATAATCTATGCATATAAATGATAAGATATTTAGGTAATGACTTTGAAATAACACTTAGTTTAGGTTGAATTTCCTTAATATTAAGGCACTACAAATATATAAAGTAGGCAATTATATAAAAATTCATATCTGAATAGTAAAAAAATTATGAAATAGATATGTATTTACTGAGTATTTACCAAGTCTTTTCAGCTTTGACAAATTCAACAGAAGATGCAGAGAAGTCTAAAAATTGTCATCTTTTGGCGCACATTTTGCAGGCTCATTCAGAAGTCACACTGTTCAGAAACAAAGAACAGAAGAAACCGAACATTGTATGTAGCTAGCTCCATCAACAACATGCGGCACACAGTAGGAGCTCAGATCAATACCTGGTTCCTAACTTTTACCTTACATTAGTGTGAGATAAATTATTGTCATCTTCCTATCACACTTCAGCTGGGAAACTAAATTATGATTTTTTCATTTTTTGCCTTTTCTTCATTTTTACATTCAATCACTGTGTATCATTACAGCACACTGAATGAATGTTCCCATCATGAATACACTGCATATTGGTTCAGTCAAAGATATCACCATATATACCATGATCTACCAATAATTTTCTATTTTGTGTCCCTTAAATGTTTTGCTCTTTTCTTTTCCCCCTTGATTTCTCAAATGATACAAAGTGTAGGGTCGAGGAGAGCATCTCTTAGATGAGGAAATGTCATGAACCAAATAGAAGAACACCCTTTAAGAGAAAGCCCTGGGTTGATTTGTCTAGCTGGGAAAATAGTTCGGGTTGAGTAACAGTGGGCATTATTTTATGTTTATTTATTTATTTATTTATTTATTTACTTATTTATTTGAGAGGCTTTTGCTACAGGGCACGTGTGCTTGCCAGAAAGACAGAGAGACAGAGAGACAGAGAGTGAGAAATCACCCCCAGGGGGCATGGCCACACCGCAATCCCTTCTCCTCCATTCTCCTCTCAGGATCTTGGGCATGCTCGCATATGTGCCTGGCGTGAGTTTTAGCAACCGGTTCCGGGATTTCAACCTCAGTTGACTACATGGGAGTCCAGCAACATAGCCATTATGTCAACTGCTGGTCCCTAGTGGGCATTAAATTTGAAAGGTGGAGTTGGTTTGCCAAGCTCAGGTGGTAGAGATTTAGTTGGTTTTATAGTAAAAGAGATGTTAAGGGAAGGAATTCATTTTGGGGAAAATTGTTGGTTCTAATTAAATTAGAAGAACCATTCTGCTAATTCTGGCTCAAATTACTAACCAGAGGCACTGTAGGCTAAACAAGTTATAGTATTTTCTTTTTTACGTAGTATGAGTTTTATGATTGAGAGTTACATAAATGGGATTTTAGTCTGCTACATCATTGTACAATATGAATGTGGTTTCTTTCTTGTCTATCATGTCTAGGAAGACAATAATGATAATAACTAAGATTTATTACGCATTTATTGTGTGCCATACATTATTGGGTCCTCAGGAAAGCCATGACACATTTCTGCATAGGAAAATACATCATGACTTTCCCGATGACCTAATAGTAAGCATTTTATATGTATTAATTATTTAATTCTTATGAAATCATAAGATGTGTGAAGGGCCTTCAAAATGTTCATGGGAAATGTACATTATGAGAAACTATGCATGGAACTCATTTTTTTCTAAATTTAAGTTTTTGCCCTAGGGTATGTGCACTAACTGGAGAGAGACAGAGAAATGGAATGTGAGATCCCCCTGGGGAGATGGCCACACCACAATCCCTTTGCCTCCGTTTTCATCTCAGAATTTTGGGCATGTACACACACGTACCCAGCATGATATCCAAGCTAGTGTCCAGGACGCCAACTGTGATCAGCCATGTCTTAACTAATTACATGTGGTCTACCACACCATCTGCTAACCCCACACATTTTTTCATATTAAACTAAACTGATACTTTAATTCCATTTCCCATGATTTTTTTGAAGGCTCCACATGTTTATATTATTATGCTTTTAATTTTACAAATGAGGAAACCACAACAGTTAGATTTTTTTGCAAAGTAACGTGACTTGTCTGACCATATGTAGGTACCTAGCAGTAGTACTGAATTCAAAACATCTGCTAATTCTGTAGCTATTGATTCCAAACCTTCTGACCAGTGAGTTTTCCACTATACTAAATGCTCAGGTTACTTCTAGAAAATGTAGGAGAAGATGAGATACAAACATTAATTACTATATAAATTTGATGTAATAACTTCTGCTTCTGACTTCACTTTATTTTCTTATCATTCTATCTTTGGATTCCTCATCTACATTTTATTCTGCTAGTGTATATATGACACTCTGTAAGGTGTTTAAAAAACAATAGGTGAACACAAAACAATGGGTGGCTAAAGTTATAACTAGCTCTGGAACTATGAGAGGACATGAAGAGATGGACTTATTTTTCAGATTCACTGGCTGGAGCAAGATGGCGTACAGCTCACCTGGTATAGAACTGGCCTTGGCATAAATTGCTGGACCCCACT